ATCTTGTTTCAGAACCCCAGGGTGGTTCCCAGAAGTCTTTATTCATTGTTCATTTCTTTCCCATTAAGGCAGAGCCTTGTACACAGATAAACACAGGAGTTTATTCCCTCAACAGAAGAAATCATTCCATGGGACCTACACTGCCACTTTCAGGATTCCAGGTCTGATAGATAAATATCCTGAACAATAAATAAAATTTATTCCTTTCAAGTGATAAGGACTTCTCAGGAGCTACTTTACAGTGCTAGAAATGAGATAGTGATCCTTCAGACCTCATTTTAGACAAGACTGCTTAACAATGCATACCTCTTCCCCACTGTCCCAATTCTGCTTCTATTTAAAACTTTGGGTCATGCCAGCACCCAGAAGACATGACTTAAACATGGATCCCCTTGTCTTTCAGGTGTGGCTGCACTGACTAAAGTTCTTTTCTTGATTTTTGCAATTACTCTTTGGAATATCTGAGGGGTGTGTGATATGTGGCTAGACCTGTGTTTTATACCTTGCATGAGACTGCTGTAATTCTTTCAATTCTTATTTTGTGGAAAATCAAGAAATCACTGCATAATAAATAATGCCAAAGTTATGTAATATTATGAGAAACTCAAGTGAGGCCACTGGCATTAAATATCCTTATATGTTCCTGGATCCTAGCTGCTTGTCTTTTTGTTGTTGTTGTTGTTGTTGTTGTTGTTGTTGTTGTTGTTGTTGTTATAAGTGGACACAATATCATTATTTAACATTTCTGTGATGCTGAAGATGAAACCCAGTGTCTCATGCATGGTAGGTTAGCATTTTACCTCTGAGCACAAACCCAGTCCCATAGCTGCTGTATTTATAAATAAATCAGAAGACCTTTGTTAACACAAGCTCCATACATATATCTTTGCCCACACAGGTTCCTCTGCCTAGAATATGTTTTTGCCTCATAAAAGACTCCTGTTAAGCCTCCAAAAGTCAGCTCTTATAGCACCTTCACTTTACTTTCAGGCCATTCTGTACTAATTCTGTTGGGAAGATGGCCTCTCAAGGAGAGATGGGACATAGACAAGAAGGAGCTGATGGTCCCACCAGTGGTATTCATGATGCTGTGCAGTCCCTGAGGGAATACTGCAGTACACAGCAAGTTACCCAAATTCTAGACTAAAGAGAGGTTCCATAAATGACATACTACATACATTGAATTTCACCTTTATGTGCATCTACAAACACTAATTTTAAAAGCTATAAATAAATAGAACACCAATAGATTAAATGAAATGGAACAGGGGAAAGGAGGAGAGGAGGGATGGTGGATGCACTGGGGACTAAAGTGAGGCAAATTATATTTTATGCTTGTATGATTACATCAAAACAAACCCAATATTATGTATAAAACACAAATAGAATCATTAAAAACTGACATCAATATAAATAGGCTAATCTGTGCTTAAGACTGATATGTAATATGTACCAGGTCTGAACCAATGCATTGACCCATTCATTGATTGGATTATGTGTTTTTTTGTTGTTGTTGTTAAGATTTTTTGAGTTCTTTATATATCCTAGAGATTAATGCTCTATCAATGTGTGTGTGGTTAAAAATTTGCCCCTATTCTATAGGCTCTCCATTCACCTCATTGATAACAAGCTTTTCAATTTGAATCCATCCCATTTATTGATTCTTGATTTTATTTCTTGTGCTATAAGAATCTTTTTGAGGAAGTCAGGGCCAAATCCAACATGATGAACATTTGGACTTACTTTTATTTATTAGGTGCATTGTTTCTGGTTTATTTCCTAGGTCCTTGATCCACTTTGAGTTGAGTTTTGTGCATGGTGAGAGACAGGGTTGTAATTTCATTTTGTTGCATGTGAATTTCCAATGTCCTCTGCCCCATTTTTTGAAAAGGCTATCTTTTCTCCAGAATAATTTTTGGCTCCTTTGTGTAGTATGAGATAACTATATTTATGTGGGTTTGGCTCTGCGTCCTCTATTCTGTACCATTGGTGCCAAAACCATATTATTTTTGTTACTATTGCTCTATAGTTAATTTAAATTCTGGTATAATTATGCCACCTGTCTCACTCTTCTTGGTAAAGTTTGCTTTACGTATTCTGGGTCTCTTATTTTTCCAGATGAGTTTCATGATTGCTTTTTTTATTTCTATGAGAAATGTCATTGGTATATTGATTGGGATTGCATGAAATCTGTATAGTGCTTTTGGCAGTATGATCATTTTGAAAATACTAATTCTGCCTATCCAGGTGTATGAGAGCATCTTCCATCTTCTGATGTTTTCTTCAACTTATTTTTCTAGTGTTCTGTAGTTTTATTTTAGAGATCTTTCATCTCTTTCATTAAATCAATACCCAAGTATTTTATTTATTTATTTATTTGAGGATATTGTAAATGGGGTGATTTTCCTCGTTTCTCTTTCAGATGATTTGTCACCAATGTAAAGAAATGCCTTTGATTTATGCATATGATTTTACATCCTTATACTTTGCTGAATTCATTTATTAGTTCTAGAATTTTTCTGGTGGAATTTTTTGGAACTTCTAGGCATACAATCATGCTGTTGGAAACAGTTATAGTTTGAGTTCTTCTTTTCTTATCCATATCCATTTAATTTCTTTCACCTATCTAATTTTTTGGCTAGATTTTAAAAAACTGTGTTAAATAGATGTGGCAAAAGAAGGCATCCCTGTCTTCTTTCAGATTCTAGAGGGAATGCATTCAATTTTTCTCCATTTAGAATGATTTTAGCCTGTGGCTTAGCATAGATAACTTTTACAGTATTGAAAATGTTCCTATTATCCCTAGTTTTTCTAGTGTCTTGAACATAAAGGAGTGATATATTTTGTATTTTCTGCATTTATTGAGATGATCATATGATTCTTATCTTTAAGTCTATCAATGTAATGAATTACATTTTATAATGAATAAAATCTATTGATGTGATAAATTACATTTATATTTATCTTGAACCATCCTTATCCCTGAGATGAACCCTACTTTATCATAGTTCACTATCTTTCTAATATGTTTTTGTATTATATTTGCCAGAATTTTATTGAGAATTTTTGCATCTATGATTATTAGAGATAGAAATCTGAAGCTTTCTTTCTTTGATATGTCTTTGTGTGATTTTGGAATCAGAATAATATTGGCATGATAGAATGAGTTCTCATGAACTTTCTCTTTTTTATTTTATGAAGTAGTTTTAGAATTATTTGTATTAGTTCTTTAAAGGTCTTGTAGAACTCAGCTGGTATCTGTCTGCTCCTGAAATTTTCTTGGTTGGGAGGCTTCTGATGGCATCTTCCATTTCATTCCTTGAAATTTGTCTATTTAACTTGTGAATATTATCCTGATTCAGTTTGAGAAAATCATATGACCCTAGAAATTTGTCAATATCTTTGATATTTTCTATTTTAATGGAGTACAAATTTTCAAAATAGCTTCTAATTATCTTGTGTATTTCTCTCATATTCATCATGATATTTCCTTTTTCATCACAGATGTTAGTAATTTGAGTTTATTCTCTCTTCCTTATAAGCATGACCAAGGGTTTATGGATTTTATTTATTTTTTCAAAGAATCAACTTTTTATTTTGTCAATTTTTTTCAATTGTTTCTTTTGTTTCAGTTTCATTGATTTCATATCTGATTTTAATTATTTCCTGTCTTCTATTGCTTTTGGTCTTGATTTGTTCTTCTTTTTCTAGGGCTTTGAGATGTAGTGTTAGGTCATTTATTTGTTGACCTTTTTCTTCTTTTAAGGAATGAACTCCATTCAATGAACTTTCTTCTTAGTATTGCCTTCATAGTGCCCCAGAGATTTCCATATGTTGTTTCACTGTTCTCATTTACCTCTAAGAATTTTTAAAATTATTTTAGATTTTTTGTGTAGTTGTACATGGACAACTCTGGCAAACTGTCCCTTCTGAGGACACCTTCCCAATTGTATCTCATATCTGACTTGAAGCTACCATTGTTCCCTCCACCACTTCAAAGTGTGCCCTCACATTGCTGAACCACATCTAATGGCATTAGAAGTGAATTATTCAGGAAGGGAAAGGGAAGGAAGATATGGGACAGGAATAAGATGGAAAAATCCTGTGTAGCTCTAGATACCAGTTGAATCGGCTGTAAAATGATTGACTATCAATCATTTTCTAATTCAACACTCATTGTGCTTGTTATCAAGTTGGTTATTGAAGATGGACTACGAATGTGTTTCTTGCTTTCCAGAATCAATAATGGAGATAGAAGGAAATATGAAATCTAAACTAGAGGTACCATAATAACTACCTCAGTAAAGTGTTTCAAATTATGTGCTTTAAAAATTGCAGAAGGACACTATGAATATCCTTTTCCAGCAATGCAAAAATTCACAGTGGGTTAACTGTATCTATCTTATTACTTAATTTGAATTTCTGAAAAAGCTCCATGTATTCAGTGATTGTGATGATAAAAATATTGAGTTTTGACTCTTACTGATTCAGTACTATATATCCCCTTAAATGGGCATAGAGGCTTCAGGATAAATTTTATAAGGATATGTTTATTGACTTTCTCATTATAAAACTTATCACAGCATATTTCAAAGAACGCATCATATATCAATGTCACTACAAAAGCCACCACAACCACCCTCATTTTCATTAAAAATTGTTGACAAATTTGGTGATAATTGTTGATTCTCTAATCAGAGTTCAGGAAGAGCTGCCAGTACTAACTGGTAGTGAGAGGAGAGAGCCCATTACACCCAAAAAGGGTGAGTCTTCACATCTGGCATGGAGGTGGGCACCTACTCTCCATCACAAAATAGATAATACTCTGCACACACCCTGAGAAGGCTCAGCAAAGTTCTCCAGCATGTCTTATCATTCACCAATTGAGGAATATAGAGTCTACCTTCATTCTGAGTTTTCTTCACAAAATAAATTTTTATTCTTCGATGTTCTGTATCCCAGTGTCCAAGAAGAACCATGCAAAAAATTGTTAGAGAAGTTCAGGCTCCACTAATTGTCCCATCTCTGCACAAAGCCTTCAGAATAATCGGCTTTTCAGGTTGAAGAATTCCTAGCTTGCCTAATTTCATAGGAATCTGTAACATATAGCCAAGCACATGGAGAATGAGGCACAATGAATGAAGCAATAGTAACCACAGAAGCAAAGTAGAGAAGATACATTAAGCACAGTCATGCTTTACAAACATGAAAACTACTTTTACTATCATGTATCTTGAATTCCTCCTACTCCTTCTCTAACATGTGTGATGATGGGATAGTAAAATTATTCATTTATGTGAAAAAAATATTTTATAAATATCTCTTTTACTAGGCCTGAGACAAAATGAGATCGACTTATTTACTTTATTGATAAAATTGTAAATTAAAGACTGGAGTTGTGGCTTAGTGGTAGAGCATTTCTGTAGAATGTGTGAGGCACTGGGTTCAATTCTCAGCACTACATACAAATAAATAAAATAAAGGTCCATCAACTAAACAAAAAATAATTTTAAGAAACTTGTAAATTAAAAAAAAATAAGTTTCAAAAATTTAAAATAGATTCCTACACATTAAGACAAACTTTTAGAGAACTGTAGAAAGTTAATTTATTGCCTGCTGAAACTTAACAAAGAACACTGAGGAGGTTTTATACACTTCAATGTCATAAACAGTCTTCAACTTCCAGGGGTCTGTTCACTTATCCCAGTTGAACTCAATCTGTAGAATGATGGAAGTGGTCATAATTCCTTAAGACCTTTATGCTTTGCTTTGCTCTTTGGGAATCTTCTCTTGGCTTCTAAGCACAGTGCAAATGGGGAACTTATGAGCCCTTCAGTGTTTTCACTAAATCCTCATGCCATTTCCAGAATCACTCCACAGGCCTGAGGGGATCTCTAACAGAGTACTCTTTTGCTCTCAGTAAGAAGCAAATTATTGTTTAGATTGAGAAGTACCAGCCTGGAGAAGACAGAGCTTGCAGAAAGTATCTGCCACATTCCTGGTGTGTCAGAGGACTTCTTCCTATCAGACAATTGGCCCTGAAATCATCTCTATCCTCCTCTTCCATGCAGATGGCCCACTGAGAAGGAAAAGTTGCATATTAAACCCACAAGTCCTGGAAGTGAACCACTATCAATAGGGAAGTTGTGTAAATTCTAGTGAGGAGAGCTTCACTTAAACATCATAATCCTGTGGTCACCACACCTCATGACTGTGCACAGGGTCTCTCCAGGAGACTTAAAGCTGAACTTACACTGTGCTCAAGTTCACAGTCCACACATACACATGTTACACTAATCTGCATTTAGTCCATAGTTTTTTATACTTTGGTCTTCATAAAGCCATAGACTTAGAGCCCCCAAAGTGAAGAACTCTAAAATATCAAAGATGGTGCAAAAGAGACTCATTGAAATATAGATCTAAGAATTAAATGATGAATGAGCATATTTTTTTTCTGTGACTAGGTCCCTATGTTTGGAAAAACATCTTCAAGTAAACATGTACATGAAAATCTACTGACCTGTGTTTCCTTACAAGGTTGGAAAAGGAAGTTCTGCATTACTCTGACAAGAGCAAGTTTTATGTTCATGAGAGCAAACCTCATGCCAATGCAGTTTCGGGGGCCATTTCCAAAGGGCATGTACACATAAGGATCGATGCTGTCCTTGTTCTTCTTACTGAACCTG